TCGAAACGAGACACAGAGAGAGAGAGAGAGAGAGAGAGAGAGAGAGAGAGAGAGAGAGAGAGAGAGAGAGAGAGAGAGAGAGACTGGTGGTTTAAGGACTCGCGTTTATCTCCATTGCTGTTTTGTCTGCGTGTGATGTGTGCATGGTCCTGATGCATGGGTATTGTTGTATGCATGTGGTGGTACGAGAGTTTATGGATGAATTGAATGTCTCATTGTCCAGAGGAGCTTGATGTGTGTGTATGCGTGTGCGCTTACAGGCGTGTTGTCGAGCGCATCGGTCCGGCACTGCACGTGGCAGCGCGGGACCATCTCGGCCGCGTCACGCAGGAGTTGTACCAACCTCGACACGAACACACACATGGAGCTTCCTTAGGCCGCTCCGGCCGAGTGCGCCAGCCATACCTCTTGCGAGCCCCTACGACAGGAAAGGGCCTACGTGAGGCACAACTTACCTCCACCATACGGGAGTTGTCACCTCCCTTCGGTGGGCGTATCCTAGCCGAGCTACCAGTCCACAGTACGAAAGCTACTCGGTTGCAATCGCAGAGGTGGACCAGCCGAGGGCGTTTCTCGTTCGCTGTAGCATTGGGGGTATGCGCGGTAATACGCCTATCGAACCCGCACGCGAACCGACATCTGGGGGGGGCTGAGGTCCCAAGCGCGATTCGTCGTCGGTCGACTAGGACGCATCCCACACACCACGTGCCCACCACTCTACGAACACAAAAATAAAATACACACACACACACACACATCGAACAACGCGACAACATTCCTAGTCCCTTAGTAGCCGTCCCATAACTTTCCACTACGGAAAATCGGACAAGCGTCGCGCGCGAGACTTAGTATAAAACTGCGCGGATGCAAGGCCTACTTATATTGACTGGCCATGCGTGCGTACGCAAGTAGTCGCGATGATGGCATACTATGTGGTACCCACACTCGCACGGCCCTCGTTAATCTCGAGGGTCGCGTTCGACACTCAAGTGTCAGCTGACACGCGCCTTGAGGGTTAATCTTTCGACGCCAGACAACCGCCATGCGCGGTTGAAGACCACACACCCCCTTCTGCACCCTTATGCAGAGTGGGTGGTAAACAGATCTATGCCTGTGGTGGTAATCGTCTCTCGCGACCCCGGGGGTAAGTCTTCCCCGGGCCTGGTCGAAAGTCAAGGGGTTTGACTTTGACGGTTGCCACGGACTACAACGTCCAACCATAAAAATTTCTAAAAAACAAAAAAAATACGCACGACACCAAGAAGAGGGAATAGGGCAAAGGTCCCCTATTAGCGCACCCTTCCCCTCTATGGGTGGTGCCGGCGACCTACAATAATCCCAAACGCTGCGCCTACATGCGAGCCCGGCGGTCCCATAACCTTTAGACGTTGGGGCGGTGAAACGTCGCGTGCGGGATTCTAACATAAAGCTGCGCGGCCTCAGGCCAACTCTATGCCAACCACCGATGTCAATCATATGTGGTAATCACGGCTCCGACCTCGCGATATTGAATGGCTGAAGGAACACATCGCGATGGGTCACCCCTCACGATATTGAACGGTTGAAGGACACGCCGTTCGGCCCTCGCGACAATTCCGCCTTCAAGGTGGAGTGTCTCGCCGACCAAAGTAAATAGGCTTTGTGCAAGGGGAAACTCCTCCCCTACAGAGTCTAGGGCTTGGGATGTCCTGGACAAGGACCTTGAATCCCGACCCAAGACCAACGTCCGACTAAGAAAGCCTCAAGACGCAAATAGGCAGGCGCGAGGGTTTTTCCTACCCCTCGACCTCAATCCTTAAGCGTGTTTTTAACATGTGTCTCTTAGGCCTCTTAGATATCCATCATAAGCACACCCACGCATACACGCACAAAGGATATAGAGTTGCGACGATCACTTCTGACAGGCACAGTGGGACCCCTCACAACCACGTATATGTATATGGGATCGCAGACAATCTAAATCCAAAATCCGAACCATATGACATACCTGCAATCACACCAAGAACCGAACGACAAAACACGCCCTACACGGAGTCAACCCCAACCATCCTCTATGCTCATACCCCTTCGTTTTAGCCATGCAAACCCCAACCGCCTTTCCAACCAACCTCAATTAAATACTCAATACCCTTGTTAAATGGTCATTCAATAA